AATCATTGCACCAGTAGGGCTGTAAGCCGCTCCAGGAAACATGGATTTGAGAAATTGTTGAGGTGAAAGAAAAACTCTGCAGGAGTGCAGCTCTTGGCACCAAGCTTTGCTTCCGAGTGGTGGTGTCTACCACTCAGCTGCAGTAATCATAAAGATCTCAAAGGTTTCCGAAGTGTTCATTTCAGAGTGAATTTCTTCTTCTCTTGACAAAATATTTGACAAATGCTACTTAAAAGGTTCATAGCGTTTTAGAGCTTATTCTGTTGTTTCAGATCTACATTATGTGATGATCTGTTCCTTTAGAGTACAGCTACTTAGTCGGCTAGCTATTTTAAAAAAAATGAACAAAACCCTCAAAAAATGACCCAATCAATGAAATGAATTGTCTATCACAAAAAAAAAGTTTTTAACAAGTCTGGAGTCTTGGTTCATTTAAATGCATCACTCATGTTTTTGTATCAGAACCTTGAATGATGCAAACCAACTGTCTGCATACCAACTGTCTGAGTCAGTTGAAAAGCTTCACAGTTAACCTCGCAGATGGAAACACAAGAAACAAGGTGATGACATACACAAAAGGGGACATATAGGACTCTTCATATGAGGTATATTTCTGTGAAATGACACTTTATTGATGTAATGCAAGGGACATCAGTTGCCCTAAAGCATATCAATAACATTTTGGACAAGGGAGACATGGAGGTTTTTAATTATCCAAACAGGTGGCATAGAACCACAACCTGCAGTTAACAGCTTGAACACTTTGACTGTTTGATCCTAACAGTGTGAGAACAAACTCTGATAGTCAGAGCAAGATTTAAAAATTTTACACATTGTCTATTTTTATTTGCTTTCAGGGTATTTTCTCTTACGTAAGTAAACAACAACTAAGATTTGTGCTATGATGACACAGAAAGGGATAACTAAACAGAAAAATAAAGCATAGGTATGTAGATTTACTTTGATAGTGGTATTATTTTGGGTTTTTTTTAGATTGTTTGACCTTCTGTTGAATCACCACAGTAAGCGCATACATATGATACACAGGGGAATTTTCTCTGAAGGTTCAGCTCCAGGTAGGGTTTCTCCAGGGCACATCGGCCTTTGAATGAGGGGTCAGGTGATTCTGACGATCAAGCTTTTGCCTCTAGAGCTAAAGGAAGCACCGTCTATTTGTGCCCACTGCCATAAGAGAGGAACATCGGGATCCACTTCCATGGAAGCTGGGTAGCAGGTGAGGGCCTTTGACAAGCTGCTTCCTCTTGACGTAATCTGGCTTTAGGAATGTGCGGTGTCACTATTCGTTCATGTAAGTTGGTCTCACCTCTATTTACATCTTGAGCTCTTGATCCAAGCTCCTGGAGAGGTGCTGAACTCTCTCCTTCCCAGCAGTTGTCCAATTAGAGAGGTGTCATACAGGAGTGGAGATACTAAAATGAGCAACAGACTTCAGAAAAGATTTCTTTATAGGCCTCTGTTTGGCACCAGTCACTCCTTAAAGGATTCTCCTGTTGCCTGACAGCGTTTCACTCATGTCAGGTTCCATGTTTCCGCTTGTTCATTTTTCATTTTGCTTCCCATTTACTGTCATTATTATTTTTTTTTTTTCAATTTTAAGTTAAATCATAAATTCTTTTGCAACAATTAAGATTGGTTACTTCCTCCATGCATTTGGGTCTTCCAGCAAAATCTACATACCACACACTGTCATGCTCAACTTATGCTTTGCTCTTCATTTTACATGAATCTGTCATATAGACAGAATTGAAAGAAAACACAACAAAGGCATAATGTCTTTGATCACTGAAAAACCTTTTAACCATTAAAAGAAATTCCGATTAGAAATTATTTATTTAAATTCTAACATGTTTGAACCAATGTAAATTGAAATTTTTTCTTGCCCGTTAATTGTGACCTGACTTTTGTTGCGACCCACTCAGATCTTGCTGTTGTGATTGCTATCAAAGATTGATTAAAATTTAAGCGACTTAGAAGAAACTGAAAAAAAAAAAATGTTGGTAGCTTCTTGGCAATGATGACTCAATCATAAAACAACAAACCAAAACAAAAAAAACTGTCTTAAACTAATTTCTCTGGATATTTTTATGTGTTACACAGCTGTCAGACCTTCAGAATAACTTCTTCTCACGTCTTTGATTTAACGTAACCTTGATTTCTCAGATGGGGACAATTTTTTTTTCCCTTTTCAAATTCCTCTGCAAGGCCACAGCACAAAGTCCTTTACAATTAATGGAGCAAGCATTGGATTCTCAGCAACCTCACCATGGAAACACTCCCATTGTATGTGAGCTGAATTGAGTAATGCAAAAAAGTACAAAAAAAAAAAAGAAAAAGAAAGAAAGGAAGCAATAATTGTAAGGTGAGAAATAATTTCATGGGTGATTTGTGTCTTCGTGGAACCCTCATGGATGTGAATAACAACTGCATTTTCTTTTACAGCCACACTCCCAAAAAGAAAGGGAAAAACAACTATTTTGAACTTTTTTACTTATTTATTCTGACTTAATACTGCATTTACAAAGCGTCATTTGACACCCAAAGCTAATATACACTGAAATATCAGATGCGACACCAGGGACACTTTTTGCATGCTTGACTCTCAGAGCTGAGCTCAAATTAAAAGATTTTTGTTCATGAATAAAGTTTTAAAATGTAAAGGAAATATAATGTAAGAGACAACACTGACTAAAATAGTTGGGATATCAACTGTAAGACTGATAGTTTGACAAGATACTATCATAAATATGAGTACAAATTAAACTAATAGAAGAATAAAGGCACAATAACAACTTCCTAGTAGCACTACTTCAGTAATATAACTTTGAAGCTAATTTTTAGAACATACACAATTCAGTTCAGCCACACTGACCACTGTTTCACGGTATTCAAGAAAAAGCAAGGCAGTAAAGTTTCAGGAAGGGTTCTTTTGCAAGAAAAAAAAAGCAGGATACATATTTCAGCTAATATAAGCCAAACTTTGTGACATTAAATATATTTTATGAACACGATCCAAAAGTACTGTGCTTGTGTGAATTCAGAGGTTGGTGGTTAATAAAGTTTCCTTCTAGAACATTGCCCATATGTGTGTTTAAAACAAAGTCTGCATATTGATATTTAAACTATCCCTCCAGTATCACATAATAGGATTCATCACACATTCACAAGTGCACAAATACCAAGCTGTAAAGATGAAGTGCTAAGCAGAAATTTACATCCAGCAAGATAATTTTGTGCTCATTAAACACATGTGGATGTATTTTATTTTACATATATGCTCTTTTCAAATTGGTTTTAGCCTTGAAGCCCTCTCAGCGTTAAGGAGATGAAATGTCCAGACAGCATTCACAGCTCCCGATATCTTTACTTTGACTAACTGAAAATGCTCATTGGTGGGCTACAGTCTCAGAGCAGAAACAGTTCATTATGATGCAAACTTCATCCCTAAAGATATAGAAAAAAATAAAAATGCAGATATTTTTTCGCAACAAACTCTCTTTGGAGTTAACTGTCTGGTCAAGGTGAAGACATCTCACTTCATTTGTGATTCACAGAGAATGATCCCTGAGCAGATACTGAATATTTCACCAAAAATGAGTCTACAAATATATTGTACTGCATATCACAAAAACTTCAATTAAGATATGTTGATATTAAGCGGAAAAATGCTTACAATATATGCCTTTCCTAAAATAATCAGGGAATATATTTTTTACTCTCTGTCTGAAACTGCAGTTGATCTTTTTTGCACATCAGACCTGAATTATTTACTGTACTGTGACAACGACTTAGGTGACATGCAGGTCAGATGAACAAAAAATGTGCATGTTGCCACAGCAAATAGTAGAGATCTTCCAACAGCATGTGAGAAATACTACACAGGTTCGAATCACCTTCACATTCAGTTCTACCTTCAGCTTCCATAAACAGGGAAAACAGATATTAGAAAATAAACACATTCTAATTGTGTTATCCCAAAGGCATCTTTGTACTGCACCAACTCACTTATGGTAGTTAAATTTCAAAAACGTTACTATGTGTTTGTTAAACCTAAAAAATCACATAGAAAGACCAAAACCTACAGAAGAAAAATATCCTTTTGTAAGAGCTGCAATTATTTTTGCTTTAAAAGGTGGAGCGTGTATTAGGCCTTCACTTAAAGTGGACACTACAATGGGCTGCCATCCAAAAACGTTTTTATTGTATGCGTGTGGGTGTCGATACTGCACACAAAAGCCCCATCATTGGACTCTAGCATGGCGCTCCATACTCTCACACCCACTGGGCAACCAGAGAATACACGTCACAGTTTCTTGGGATGCTTGTATTTTTAAAACAAACCAGCAAACACTAAATTTATTCTTCACATTTCTCCTCATGAACATTAAACTTCTGCCGGTTTCTTTTTTTTCCCACATTAATTAGCAAAAATAGCAACACTTATGTCCATCGAAATACAAAGTGAAAAACTGAGTTCTGCATGTCTGGGAAGTGAGTGATTATTTTCCCGGTGCCTCTGTTTTGTACAGGGTATGCATATTGGGATGAAGGGTGTAAAATGTGTAGTCATTAGCTTGTTTCGTTCATACTTACTAATTACTTGACCATCTTGGGATGAAAATGTTATGCTTTATATGCATATTGTAACAGTTTCCAAGGGACAAATAAGTATTAGCTGAGTTAAGTAAAAGGTAGGCAGATAACATAACCTTATTATGGGGTCTTCTCCTTATTATGGGAATCTTATATTTGTTAAAATGTTAAATTTTGACACATTTAATATTCCAGTTAAAATTTTTTTATCATTGGCAATAATCATTTTTGGTTTCTCTTAACCTTGTGACTGCCCCAATATCTTCCCTTCAAAGTTCAAATTCTGCCTTTGTGGGAGGATCATAATATTGAATTTTGATATAAACTCAATGCATACCTAGCCTGTTGGGGAAAAAAGAAAAAAAAAACATACAGAGATGTTGCTTTCATTCAGTCTCTTTCCTAAAACCAACTTAAGAAAGAACTGTAATATTTTAGACAACATGTTTTTATATCAATGAGATGAAGTGGGATCAAATCATTCTTGGTTTTGGTCTTTTCATGGGATTTATGAATCACTACCGATACTACTTCTCAGATCGTGGTAGTGATTTGAGTCAAACACACATCAATGGAGTCCTCCCAGCTCTGGTACGGCCTGGAGGACATGTTCATGGCTAGTCATACGGGCCTGGCTTGTCTCCCGTCACCCCTCCCTTCGGTGGCACAGGTGTGATCCCGAAGCGTGCTTCTCACTCTGCTCACCCCGTGACAGTCACCGTGACCCCGCCCTCCAGGGCAGCAGAAGTCTCTGAAGCACCTCTTAAAGTTCTCGTCCAGGAACGCATAAAGGATGGGGTTGAGGCTGCTGTTGGTGTAACCCAGAGCCACGCAGAAGAAGTAGGCGGCCATGACAGCGGTGGTCTCAGGCACGTTGGCTGACAACGCTTTGACGAGGATGAAGATGTGGATGGGGGTCCAGCATACCACAAACACCGCGACCACCACCAGAACCAGACGGGTGATCCGTCGAAGGTTGCGGTCTTTCTCGCGCGAGCCAGACAGGAGGCGGACGCTCTTCAGCCGCAGCACCATCAGGGTGTAGCAGACAGTGATGATGATGAGGGGTGCCACAAAGGCGAAGATGAAAACACATATCTTCATTAGGGTGTCCCAATAGGAGTAGGGATCAGGGAACTGTAAAGCACATTCTGTGGTTCCTGTTAGTTACGGAAAAGTTACAGAACAATTAGAAGAGAACATATAAGCAGCCAGTTACAAATACACAACATGAGGAGGAGTGTTCTGCTTTAAGAGATTTCAAATCTTGGTCTTCTATGAAACAAAAATAAAAATCAGTGGTCAACAACTTTAAATATGTTCTAAAAGTTTTTATAATTTTTAAATTCTTATCTTTTGATACATGGATCTTTTACTTGTAGATTCCCTACAACAGAGGTGGCCAAAGTCGGTCCTCGAGGGCCGGCATCCTGCACATTTTAGTTCTCTCCCTGGTTGTAGTAACAATCTTTTCAGCATGTCAATGTTCTTTCTTAGGCCTTCTTATGAGCCATCATTGGATCCATGCAAGATGTTTTAGAAAACTAAAACATGGAGGATGCATGTTTTAGTTTTAGAAGAGAACTAAAACTAAAATATGGACTGACTTTGGGCACCGCTGCCCTACATTAATGTATAGCTTAGCCTACATCCTGCTAACGTCTTGTCTGGAACCACAGACCAAAAGTACATGGTACCGCAATGGTATAACATGCCTTGCAAAAGTTTGAACCTTTCACATTTTCTCATGATACAACCACTAACTTCTGGGTATTTTATTATTATTTAAAGTATGCGGTAAAACATATTGTGAAGAGGAAATTTATGCCTAATTTTTGTGATTTACTTTAGCAAATGAAACATAGAAAAATGTGGTGTGCATCTCTTGAAAAATCTCCTGAGTCTTTATGGTAGTAATGTGGCAGAATGTGAACAGGTTCAAAGGGTGCAAATTCTTTTGAAAAACTCTTAAAGTGCAGATGTAAAATCACTTATCACTTAGCACTGTAAGGTTTTGAGGTCAGATTGAAACTATGAGTCAGTGATCTAATAGCTTTCTGTAAAATAAATGTCACAATTTTCCTGTCAAGTCTGGAAGCCTTTGAAGACTTTTATAAAATTAAAGAACATCTTTGTCAAGAAATTGAAGCAGTCAGCTAGAATAATTACTTCTTGAGTGAAGTTACATTTTAGATTGACTTTTGGAATACGATGGAAGACTGTAGGGAACAGAGCTGAGGCTGATGTACCGTTGTTGGTGTTGGTGTTGCCGAGGACCATGGCAGGAATCCCAGCTGCAGAGGACAGAACCCAGATGATCACATTGATGATCTTCGCCTTCACTGGCGTACGGAAATCCAGAGCCTTGACCGGGTGACACACAGCAATGTAGCGATCCACGCTCATCATCGTCAGGGTGAAGATACTGGTGAACATGTTGTAGTAGTCGATGGAGATGAAGACTTTGCAGGCCACCTCGCCAAACGGCCAGGAACTGAGCAGGTAGTCAGTGCTCTGGAAGGGCATGGTGGTGGTAACCAGGGCGTCGGCCACCGCCAGGTTGAAGATGTAGATGTTGGTGGCTGTTTTCATCTTGGTGTATCTGCAGGGGGTGACGATGCAAACACAGGGGACAAGGGCAGTTTTGGTGCAGCTGACTTACACTGTGCACTGTAAAAAACTATAATAATTAAAGAGTTGATACTGAGAATAGTTTTTTTTAAATACAATTTTTCCCTGTTATGATGATGGATGCTGCATTGTTTCAGGCCTTCAAATGGTTTATTTGAGCTGTTCTTTCTTCAAGGTGGAATAGTTGTGCAAAATATTTATTCAGTCTTTAGGTATGATTCTGACTCACAAAAATTTCACAAAGAAAAAAAAAACAATATTTTTTTCATTATCAAAAATAATTTGACTGATTTACTTAATTAGTTGGGAAAATTCCAGCAGGAAATTCAACACTGTATAACTTTTTCACTCTATTCTTAGCTTTGTACATTTCTATAAAACTCGTTTGAACACATTCCTATTAAACGTGATTCATTTCTCAGGTAAAGCCTGCATTTAGTGCTTTTTGTTGCGATATTCTGATTCTTGAGAAAATACTGTGGTAGGCAGAAAGAAGTATGTGTTGGTTATGCACCCAGGATTTCTTTTAAGATAAAAAAAATCAATGTAATAATGGGATGGGATCATAATTTTAGATTAAATTGTTCAGCTCTCCTGGAGAAATTCTGGCGCAAAGTAAAACTTGTGGACACTTAATTAAAAATATAATAAAGATCGGTTCTTCCATCCGTCTTTTTCTGATGTCTGAATCAGTATTCCAAGCTTTGCATTGGGCTTCTCACAGGACTTCACGTGTAATTGAACAGACGACATTTAATAATGAAAAATAAGCTGTGCAGCTTCTCCAAACCTTACAGCTTGGAAGGTAGTTCAAAGATTAACAGAATAAAAAGGAAAACACATGCTACTGTTTCAATAGGGTCGAAATCCACAATCCCACAAAGGAGACTTCACTGAGACAAACAGAGAAAAATCCAATATATATGTAAATAAAAAAAAGTAATTATTTCTGCTACGTGATGTACTGGTTGGAATTACTTTTCATGACTGCCGCTGAAAAGATACTCAGTAGTCTCGCAATAACGCGCCGCTTCTGTGCGCGCATGTTGGCGACACGGGGAGCCTGACACTTACTGACATGTCACAAAAACCGCACGCACGTGCGCCCGCGCGCATGCATGCGCGCGCTCACATACCAAGCGCCCAAACTCACCTAATGATGACATACATCACCAAACAGTTGCCCACCAAGCCCACCACAAACACCACCGAGTAAACGGCGACGATGATGGGGATGATGGGTGACATCGGCTCCGGTTCCGCGTCCCAGGTGCCGTTCGGGGTGTAGTTGAAGATGTCTGACAAGCCGGGCTGCCAGGTGAAGTTCGGGACGCACTGCCCCGGCTGGCCCGAGGGACAGCGGTCCTCTTTGAAAATGTGCACCACGCCGCTCTCCATGGTGCTGAACACTGGCTCTCCGTCTTCTTCTGGTGCTGCTGGGCGCAAACTCGCCACCCGAAACAAGTGAGTCGCCTAATTAGGGCGGAAGAAGGTCGCATTTTCAGTTTAAACAAGTCTCAGTTTGTTGTGAGGAAAAACTGCGCGCAGAAGCCGCGCGCTCAAGGACATCTTCACACAGCAGCAAAACCACCTTACCTCTTTTTAGTCCTTTCCTTCCACTCAAAACAACAAAAAAAAGCTCCTGGCAAACAAACCAAGGCTGATTAGGAGGAGCAATGAGGACTCTCGACCAGAAAACAGGATGCACAAAAAATATGAGCAGAAACGGCAGGTTTCTGTGAAGAGTGTGCAGGAGGACGACAATTCACAGGCTGTGCCACCGCTGCGCGCCCGAAGGTGCGCACTGGAAGCCCGCACTGCTCATTCAGTGACATCAGAGCTTGAGCTAACACATTTGACAGCCAGCAGATAGATAGGTTCAGACCATATGAAGTCGACTTCTGACAGACTTTACTTAGATTTGAGTGATCTTTGCATTACTAATGAATCCGCACACAGGCTATCGATAGCCCATAGATTGTGACTTTTGCGAACTGTGCTGTCCAATCCTCAAAAATCTTGAAACTTTTTTCTTTTTGCACTGTGCAAATTACAGTTGCCCAGATGTCTAACAGAACATATTTTCTAAGATGTCATACCATTTTTACCATAGACATAAAAAAAAAAAATCTAAGTATTGTTCACATGAATATCATGACGTGGGAATGCTTTTCTGAAAGGACCAGTCAGATAAGAAACATACGCTATGTTTGGGCCTGTAGCAAGAAATTAACTTTGCACATCACCCTGAATGTATTATTTCCTTGGCAAGCCATGGTAATGTTGGCATCATGCTCTAGATATGGTCTTATCTATCAGAGAAGAGGAAGTTGGGTAGATGAATTTTACTCAATAAAAGGCAGTTTTAGGAGAAAACTTGTTAGAAGCTGCAAAGGATGCTTGTCTTGGATCTGTAAGCTACTTTTAAGTTAGAAAATGACCCTAATAATACAGCCAAAGCCACAACTGAAGGGATTGGATCAGAGCACATTTATGGTCTGATCAAAAACCAGCCAGAATGCAATTTAGAATCAGCAGCAATACTTGAAAACAGGTGCTCACAGAGTTTACAAATCCAGCATTCTCCATGTCACTTGCTGCTGTGATTACACAGAAAGGTTCAACAAAGCATTAATTTAGGGGACTGAATACAGATGCACAACTCATTTTCTACATTTTTATTTTGTAAAATGCATCACTTTGTGTTGCTCTATCAAGTAAATTATCACTGTCTGTGATTACAATGTGAGTAAATGTGTAAAAAGTATGTGGCGTCAATACTTTGGCAAGACATTGCATGGCTTCCGTGCAAAACAAGCACCTCACTTAAAAGGTGCTATTGCAGTTTTCATCAACAGGGTGATTAAAAGTGTTGATGAAAGTTTTCATAAAGTATTATGAACAAGATTAAACACAAAAACAAGGAGGTATTTGGAACGGCTTCGAAGAAAATAATAATAATAAAAAAAGACTTAATTACCTCCTGACTCATTTTTTTTTTTTATCAGCGTTATTTTTGCTCTGAACAAAGATTCTTAGCTGTGTGGTCTTGTTGTCCCTGTTTCATCAGTTCCATTTTTCTCTCCACCGTAACACCACCCTCACAACAATGACACAGCTCTGAAGGCTCAACATGAAAAGAAACTGAGGATCTAAATGAAGAAAGCTCCTCTTGACTTAAATCACATGCTTCCCCTCTCGATCAGCCCCTCTACTCCTTCCTGCAGGAGATATGAGACAGGTTTCAACCAGCGCGTCATTAAGCAGGTGCTGTTTCCCTTCCCTTTCTTTCATGCACTAACAGTAGTTGCTTGGAGACCCATCACAGCCAGGTGCTTGCTTGAGTGACAAAGGCTTTTCGTCATTGTGTTCCCACATTGTCAAGACCGTCCTTGCTTTATTTTGTGAGGCAGCCCGTTTGTTAGTACAAATACTTCATAAAGAAAAAAAAGAAAAAACTATCCAGAGGTTCAACTTGAACCTTGAACTGAGAGCAAGTGAATCACCTCCTCTGTTGTGCAAGGGACTCAGTGAAACAGTTGCAGTGTTTACCTTTAATCTTAATATTGCAGTGCCAAAGGTCTGTTTATTCACAGATACAATCAGGTCTGCCTCTTCTGGTACTCGAAACAATGTTTTTTTTTATTTCAAAGGAAGGATGGCAAATGGCTTTTATGTTGCCTGCGGAAAAAAGGTCAAGGGTAGCGATGCTTTTTTTACAGCCCTTTTTTCTCTTTACACATAAAACTTTGGGTACTGTCTATTCTATTTGCCTATAAGGAAGTAAAATCCTGGTTGTTCAGATCCAGTCAATACATGAGGAATATATCAACAAATTTAATTTAATTTCAATCTTTATAATGCATTTTCTCTAATTGATCAAAATCAATTCAATCCATTTATATAGCACCAACCCACAAAAAAAATGGTCTCAACACATTTTACTAAGAGGCAAATTCAACCCTAGTTATCAAATAGTGCATTAAGTTCAGTTTATTACTCAAATTAGGTTAACAGACTGCATTGAGTCATTGACTTGCAGAATTCCCTCCTCTTGGACGAGCATGTGGCGACAGGAGACGATCGCCCGCGTTGCATTATTGACTTTACATTGATCCATCCTGCCGACGTAGCAACCGTGGAGAGGAAGAAACCTCTGGCTGAATCAGAACCTAGCTCAGTACAGGCGGCAATTTTCTTTGTCTGACCTTGACCTTGTTTAGATTGTAGGAAGCTAACATCAAGTTTAAATTTGTACACCCCATTCTTCAGTTTTCAAACTGAACAACATGAAGAACAGGGTGTAGGTTATAAAATCCTGCTGTAGGTTATAAAATCAACCCACACTAGAAAAAGAAGATTTAACAGTACCATTAAACTCTCCAAATTGGAATGACTTTCATAAATATGAGTGGATGGAGATTTCTGACTGCATTCCATAATTGATTTTACATTATTTTATAACAAGACACTCATTTTAAGTGTATTTCTGCAGCCATTAACTGTTTAGACGCATTATCTTCTCCATTGATCCTTTCCTGCATCCAGGATAAATATATTTCTGTAACAAAATTTTATAAATTACTAAGGCATACTAATTTATGAAATGCTTTTGATTGTTTTATAAAATTCCCTCGATGTCTAAACTGAACAAGGCTTATTACTTTAAGAAAATGATCAATGTTAGCTTAGTTGCAACAACTAGCTGTAGCAAAATAAATAATTTGTGTTTTCCCATGTCAAACAAACAAACAAACAACAAAAAGCGAGGAAAATTGCTGCAGAAAGCTTGGCTTGGTATTGATGTTGCCAAAAATAACCATAATAAGTTGAGTGGCAATTTTATTGGTTCTGACGTTGATCTAAGAGCAGATGAATGCTGGAAATGAGAGTAATGAGAGGAAAATGAGTGAAAAGTGCTGAGTCCACACACTTTCAGAGTTACTGATCTCTGTAGAGCTGGAGGAAAGCAAAAGCAGTGAAAACTTTGAAATTACCCTTGACAGGACATCTATTCTTTATATTTTCTACAGTTCTGGTTTTCAGATAAGTGGTAATAGGGAGGCCATTGTTGAATGGTAAATGGACTGAATTTACATAGCAGGTTTCTACTCATATGGACCTCTCACACTATAGGCACATTCACCTCAGTGCACTCAGACATGTGTGCCCACTTACACACTTAGCCGCATGTGGAAACACTTTTCTTCAGCGATTCATTAAATTTTCTTTCTATTTTTCAAGTTCCCAACAAATGCGATCTGAGGAAGATAAACAGGTCCAACCTTTTTAGAGCATTGCATAGAAATACACAAGAAAAGCAATCAAAACAGTTCAAGTGGACACATTCAACTCCACACTGTTTGATCCAGTCATTACACAACGAGGCCAAACATTGGCAGGTATAATGCATAACTAACTCTCTTGAATTTTATGTAATGTTATAATATTCCATCATCAAACCCATACCTGGAGTGTTGCTTTGACTCATTCATGAATGTCAGAGCCATTTGGGGGCAACTAATCGTTTGTGCGTACAATGTGCCGCCCATCTAGCCCAAGCTCCATCTTGGAGGTTCAGTGTTCGCCTGAGGTCACCACCCCCCTCACCAGACTGGCAGCAGCACTAATTAACAAACTCATGAAGGAACTAAGCATCTATTGAGCTTACAAACTACAATGTTCCTATAGGAACGGTTGTAAACAGCAAAAATGGACGGCATGGAGAAGCATTGTTGTCATGATGGACTGAAGAGGAAAATGATCGGAAGTTCTTACAAAGACAGAGGCCACATTCAAGGCAACAGATGATGCAAGTCAAATGTCTTTTAAGTTGGTTTAGATATATACAGCATTTTGATTACAACTGAGGGTAACATAGTTCCTTGATTGTGCTATGAAACTCACTATGTGCCTGGATAATATGTTGTACTGCCCCTTTAAAGAACTCCAGCTGATTCCATCGAGTCGCTGACATTTCACCAAACCCTCCTTCTGAGCAAGCATTTGGGATAGTGGACAGGGAAGCAAGACAGAGTGAAAGGGAAGAATGCAAATACAGGGCGATCCTGGAAGAAAACCTGCAAAGCTATCAAAACACGAGGTTCACCCTCCAGCTGGACAACATCACAGACATCCAACCAGGGCTGGAATGATTTAGAATGAAGCACATTAATGCTGTTTTCACTTGTAATTACTTCAGAATTCCACATCACTTCCTGTTGCTCCATCACTTCAAATAGCAGAAAATATATAGTGAAGTTTGTGGTTGTGACTTGACAAACTGTGAAAACTTTAAAGCGGTATGTACAGCTTTGCAAGGCATTAGACTGTTTTCAGATACAAGCAAACCTAAAATACCATTTACATTTAAATCTAGAACACTATATCGTCTGACCAAAGATTACATTATCTTTGGTCAGATGATATTGATTACCTTCAATAGCAACTAACTCTTAAAATATAAAGCATGTAGTTTGAACACATTGAGTTAATAAAAACCTTTGATTCTTACATTAGGAAAATTAAGAAATTAAACATAATACTCAATGTATGCAGTTTCTCAAAAAATGTGACACAAAATGTATACATTTATACAAAAACAAAAGAGTGTGACTGTCTGTCCTCATAACTGTTTAACAAGAAGATTCTGACTCAACTCCCTGTTGAGTAATGCAGAATAAGGGCCTGTATATTTTATACTTCAGTGAGGGAGATAGATGGTCCCTTTACACCATTATCTCCATTTTT